GGGAGAGCAGAATTGAACACAGTATTCCAAAAATGGCCTAACCAATGTCCTGTACAGCTGCAACATGACCTCCCAACTCCTACACTCAATGCACCAATAAAGGCAAGCGGACCAAATGCCTCTCTTACTACCCTATCAACCTGCTACTCCACTTTCAAGGAACTAAGAACCTGCACTTCGAGGTGTTTTTGTTCGGTAACACTCCCCAGGTCCTTACTATTAAGTACCTAGGTCCTGCCCTGATTTGCCCTACCAAAATGTAGCACCTCAGTTATCTAGATTAAACTCCATCTATCACTGCTCAACCCATCTGATCAAGGTCTGAGATAATCTTTTTGCTGTCCACTACACTACCAATTTTGTTGTCATCAGCAAACTTACTAACCATACCTCCTATATTCACATCCAAGTCTTTTATATTAATGACAAAAAGCAGTAGATCCAGCACTGATCCTTGTGGGACACCGCTCGTCAGAGGCCTCCAGTCCAAAAAGCAACCCTCCACCACCACCCTTGAGCTAATTTTGTATTCTTCCTGTATTCCATGTGATCTAACCTTGTTAACCAGTCTATCCATGTGGAACTTTGTCGAATGCCTTACTGAGGTCATGTAGACAATGCCCAATGCCCTTCATCAATCCTCCTCGTCAATGTTAACCTGGCCAGCGACACCATCATCCCATAAATGAATTTTTTAAAAACTGTAATGAGCTGAAACAGCACAGATTTGTGCTAGGCATGATTTCAACTGATGGAGACTTTGCCCTGGTTCCTATTGATTTTAATTTTGCCAGGGCTACTTACTGTCACACTTGGTCAAATGCTGCTTTGATTTCAAGAGTGGTCACTCTAGCTCTCCTCCCATCCCTCACTCCAAGGTCATTTCTATTGGCCCTGCATCTATGCCAGCTGAGAGCAGCCAAACAACACACTGGCTACAAAAATGTAAACCACTGCTGATAATGTGGTTCATTTAGCCATTAAAGACCAAGGAACCTGATTTTATCAGAGCCACCTATTTAGTGATTAGTTGACTCATTTATTTTGTAAGATGAGAGGATTGTAACAGGTGTTTTCCTTACATTGCAAATGACTACATTTTACAAGTACTTGGTTACCTATTACCATTCTGAGGACATGACGTCATATACCTAAATGCAAGTCATTTCATCCTTGGGGACTGAATTCTATTCTTATATGCATTTTCAATAAAACTGTATGTCAGTGGCCTTTTTTGGAATTAAAACGTGGTATAGATCTCGATGAACTTTGCTTACTCTTGTCCCAGCCATGAATCTTCACCTTTCCTCATTTTACTCTTTCCTCCCATCATGGCTTGTGCTACCTTGCTTTCTGAGACCCACCTCATGCACCCAGGACAGTATTCTTATCAGATTGCCGACCACCCAGCTTTCCTTCATGACTAAATAAAAAACGAAAGAACTGCGCATGCTGTAAACCAGGAACAAAAACAGGAGTTGCTGGAAAAGCTCAGCAGGTCTGGCAGCTCCATCATCAGCACTTGTGAAGAAAAATAATTAGAGTTAATGTTTCAGGCCCAGTGACCCATTGTGAGGAAGGGTCACTGGACCCGAATGTTAACTCTGATGTTTTCTTCACAGATGGTGCCAGACATGCTGAGCTTTTCCAGCAACTTCTGTTTTTTTTCCTTCATAACTTCTGTGCTGGATGGAATGCTATTGGTTCTATTACTTCAGGGCCTATCCTCCTCTCTTACAAATCTGTTGTTGTCGCCTGTTCTTCAAAAAAAAATCATCCATTACTCTTGGGAAAACTCAGCAGATCTGGTAGCATCTGTGTAGAGAAAGCAGTGGGTTCAATGACTCTTCTTCAGAACTGTTGTAGCAAGGAAAAGGTTGGTATATATGCTGAAGATGGGTTGGGGAGGGCAGGAAGTAGTGACAATAATAAACAATAGGAGAAATGACGGGTCCCTTTTGTTTATTCCTCCACCCTCTCCACCTTAGGCATATATAGCAACCATTTCCTATCTAACACAAATTCTGAAAAAGAGTCACTGGACCCAAACGTTAACTCTGCTTTCCCTCCACAGATGGTGCCAGACCTGCTGAGTTTGCCCAGCAATATCTGTTTTTGTTTCCGATGCCCATTACCTTAGTTCTTTGTTATTCTTTAACCTTAACTCTTATAGCCTGGAAAAAAAACACTAGCCCCAACAGCCCTCTCCCTTCCAATATCCTTAAATATATTGTCACTTGCCTTGCTGTGGTGTAGGATAATGTCAGAGTTCCAGACTAATGTGCAGGGGACATGGGTTTGAATCTCATCATGGCAAATAATGTAGTTTTAATTCAGGAAAAATCTGGAATGAAAAACTAGTCAAATGATGACCATGAAATCATTGTTGATTATCATAAATTCCGATCTGGTACACTGACTCCCTTTAAGGGAGGAAAACTGCCATTCTCACTTGATCTGGCCATATGTGATGCCAGACCCATAGTTATGTGGTTGACTCTTAATCATCCTATGAAATGGCCTAACATCCTACACCATTCCAGGGCAAAAGGGGATGGGCAATAAATGATGGCCTAGCTAGCAATGCACACATTGTGTGAACGAATGTACAAAAAAATCAGTTCCATTCCATTCTTCAGTGAATTGAATGCTCCTGTCACAGGACCAAAAATGACTTATCAAATTCGCAAGTGACATCCATTACAACTGTGAGAAAGGTAAATTATCTCTCCTCATCTTTTTGATATTGCTATCTGTACACAGCATAGATGTTGTTGACCACATATCCTGCCTCTCCAAAGCTCTGCGGAATTGCACTTAACATTCCACTTTCTATTTATCTATTCAATTGTAGCCTGGGACAATACTACAACAGTTTCTTTTTCTGTTCTTGCATTGCCGGTGTTCTATTGTGGCTCAGTGCTATATATTTTGTCTTCTACTTGTTGGACAATAGTACAATGAACTTTCTGGGCACACACATCATGAAGGCTATACTGGCCTTGGATAAGAGTGCAGAGTAAATTTAGAGAGTCATACCTGAACTCCAACAAATTATAGGGCAAGATTAAGTGAACTAGTACTTCTAATCAATGATTTAAATAAATGGTAGATAAGGGGCAATGAGCAGAATGACAAACTTCTGCTTTTGCTTCCACTCTTTACAAAGCTTACCGAAGAGTCAAATGAGGTTACGAACCAAATGAGACGGTGAACAGACTGTTTTAGTCTCAGGCTGTTGCCAGGGAAAGGGATAGAGATAGCAGGTAAGAAACAGAGTTTTGACCAGCGACGAAAACAATTTCTTCAGTCTTCCCAAAAGTTAATTGGGGACGGAATTTCTGCTCATGCAGTGCTGGATACCAAATATGCAAAGATAATTTAGTAACAGTCAATGGAGACAATGGTGAAGTAGAGATAACAAGGTGTAGAGCTGGATGAACACAGCAGGCCAAGCAACATCAGAGGAGCAGGAAAGCTGACCTTTCAGGCCTAGACCCTTCTTCAGAAATGGGGGAGGGGAAGGGGATTCTGAAATAAATGGGGAGGGGGAGATGGATAGAAGATGGATAAAGGAGAAGATAGGTGGAGAGGAGACAGACAGGTCAAAGAGGCGGGGATGGAGCCAGTAAAGGTGAGTGTAGGTGGGGAGTTAGGAAGGGAATAGGTCAGTCCAGGGAGGATGGACAGGTCAAGGGGGCGGGATGAGGCTAGTAGGTAGAAGATGGGGTGGGGCTTGAGGTGGGAGGAGGAGATAGGTGGGAGGAAGGACAGGTTAGGGTGGCGGGGACAAGCTGGACTGGTTTTGGGATATGGTTGGGGGAGGGGAGATTTTGAAGCTTGTGAAGTCCACATTGATACCATTGCAGGGTTCCCAAACAAAATGAGGTGCTGTTCCTGCAACCTTCGGGTGGCATCGTTGTGGCCCTGCAGGAGGCCCAGGATGGACATGTCGTCCAAGGAGTGGGAGGGGGAGTTGAAATGGTTCGTGACTGGGAGGTGCAGTGGTTTGTTGCGAACCCAGCGTAGGTGTTCCGCAAAGCGGTCCCCAAGTCTCCCCTTGGTTTCCCTGATGTAGAGGGGGCCACATCTGGAACAGCGGATACAGTATACCACATTAGCAGATGTGCAGGTGAACATCTGTTTGATGTGGAAGGTCTTCTTGGGGCCTGGGATGGGGGTGAGGTGTCAGGGCAGGTGTCTGGTGAAGTAGAGCTGTGCGCCCTTGGGATACGAGGGAAGGGGGGCAGAGATAGTTGTCGGGAAGGGTGCGGAGTGGTCGTTGCGCCACCAGAGGTAACAGGTGCTTGGTTATGTTTCAGCCAAGATGAGCGAGACACTCCGAACCTAAAGCGAAGGAGTGATGAGCCAGGGCCGGAGGAACCTCCGTGCAGTGTGTGAGAAAAGGTGGGGATAGTGGCGGGGCAGAAGGATTGTCTCTTAATAGGGAAAAAAAAACACCTCACCTTGCTCGGGGCCGCTTGACAACGGCAATAATCGGCAGGTGGAACGACACTGGCGGATGTGGGTAAACACACAGGGTGGGGAGAATGGTGGCTGCTCGAGCTCGCCACGCGGGGCGATAGGAAATATGAAAACGGTGGTGGTGGGGGGAACTGGTTCACGGGCGAACGACGAACAGCATTTGCCATCAGCTCGAGCCCTCGCACGTGACGTGCGGAGTGACAGGAGGACGGCGCTGATAGAGGTGCGACAACATGCGGGATGTGAGAGCGCGATGAAAGGCACCTGCCATCGGCTCGAGCTTTCCGTGTGGGGCACGGCACGGGGCCATAGGAAATGGGAAAACACGGTTGGGGGGGGGGGGTGTGGAACAATGAAGAGCACGTGCCATCGGCTCGAGCTTTGCGTGTGGGACACGGCACGGGGCCTTACGAGATGGGAAAACACGGGGGGGGGTGTGTGGAACAATGAAGAGCACGTGCCATCGGCTTGAGTCCTCGGCGCGTGGCGTAGGAGGGGCTGTTGACAGGATGACGATGCCGATGGAAACTGGATGACACGGGCGCCACTGCGGAGCGCACACAGGCAGCTCGAGACCACCATTCGTTGGCGGGAGCAGGGGGGAAAGAAGGGACCGATTGGCTGGGTTTGTGGGGCGTGGCTGCGGCCGGTTGTTGTCAAGGGAGACCCCGCCCCTCCCTGCCCGAGACGCTCAAGATCTGGCAGTTTCCATCAGGGGAGGGGAGTGGCTTTTTGCTAAAAGGGGCAGAGTCTGTGGCGGAGAGCCGCTGGGTGTCAGGACGTACGGCTGACCGTCCGTCCGTCCGATCTATCGATTCGTTTGACGGTGCTAAGAGACGGGGGGATCGGACAGCGACATCTTTCTTGTGTTGTAGCGTTTTTTTCATGTGTGTGTTGGCCTGATTTCCGAAGGACGGTAGCAGGCAGCAGCTGTGAGCTTCTCTGCATTATTGTTAGTACCGCCACCTTCTCCATCACCATAGACACCAAGAGCCCGAGAGGAGCGATCCAATTCACAGGGCAACAATCCCTGAAAGAAACGCACAACTACTCTTCTCACTTCGGGGGCTTAGAAAAATATAAAAGCCGGCAGGTGCGTATATTGGAGTTCATTTACAAATTTTTCCTTTCAATCTTTTGTTTCTGTTTTTGTTTGCGTTCACGTACTGTGTGTTCTGCATTTCAGCCTTAACGCCTTTGTACCTAAAGATACGAAGTAATGTTAAATATGTTGAAATTTAAAACCTGGCCTGTGACGGGCAAACCTGAGTTTATTATCGAATCGAAACTCATAATGTGTACACTTGTTCAAAGTGAGATTTATTCATTCTCAAGATATGTTCCATGATCAAAATTGTATTTTTAAGAGGTTTGCTAATCTTACAATAATGACTTTAACTTTCTTTGTCAACACGAGTGACAATTGGAGTTTTGTTTTTAAACGCATGTGTTGTAAAAGTATCTTTTTATGTGTAATCTTTCCCTTGTCTGGAGAACCTCCCTCCGTTGTCTTTCCCCTCCCCCGACACATCCCAAGCCGTATGACATTTCCTAAGAGGGTTTTCATGCCTTATTTATTTATTTATTTATTTTACATGCAGATCGGCATTTGTTTCTGAATTAAAAAAAAAATCAGTTCATTGGATGCTGGCGGGGCCTTCAAGAGCGATGCAGGCCGCAGCGTTCTGTGTGAAAAAGACAGAATGAAACGTTTTTTGGAGGGGAGGGTGTCCTTACAAAAACAGTTTCTTTATTATTATCGCCGATGTTCAGTAATGTAAACCGCTGGCGCTAAGAAACGTGCCGCGATGTTAGCCGGTGATTCTTTTTAAAACCAAGTATATTGAATTTTAGCTTGTATCCTAGTGGATGCCCAAACCATGATTCTCTCCTCCCTCTGATCCATCCACACCCCCATCTGCTGCTGGTGACTTTTCACCGCGAGATGTTTCAGATTATGTGGGAAAATCACATCTTTTAATATTTCAAAGAAACCTATTTCCTCCCTTCAGTAAGCGCCATAGTTTTTATTCTCTCAACCATTTTTCTGAAGTTGATAATTTTTGGTGTTTAAAATCAGAATAGTATTTCTCAGGTCAAAAGTGAAAAAAGGTTACAAACATAGCTATCTAATATGAGAAAGACAGTGCACTATTAAACGATAAGTCGTAATTCTTCATGGGACAGAAAGTTGTAGAGCAAAAGAATTTGAAGCAGGAGGAACTTTTCAAGATTAAAAGTATACTTTTTATTTTCTTGTGATGAAATACAGTGCTGTCTGTATCATTTTCCATGATTCGAAAACATGGGATTCAACCTCTCTCCCTGCCAGGATGATTGTTTTGTTACCTGGCAGTTACTACAAATGTCAATATTGTAACTTGTCCACCTGGATGAACAATATACACTACATCTAATGCAGTTTGAATTTTCACCTTTATATCTGTCAGCAGAACAGAGCTTTAATTCTAAGGAGTCCTGCAAGAAGAAAGTGAGCTCTGAGGAGGACTAAGATGAGAATCATTATGAACTTGGCTGAGTTTAGAAAGCAGAATGCAAGATCAAATAGTTTTTTTAATAATTTATTATTTCCGTTGGCCATTTGGATTAGTTCATTCACTCTAATGCTTGTGCTTAACTGAAGGGGTGTTGTTAGAGGATTGGCTAACTAATAGAAGACACAGTTGGCATAAGATGGCCATTTTGAAGTGCCACATAGATGAGTGCTAAGCCACAATTATTTACAGCATATATTAATGACCTAGATGAGGGAATGCAGTATCGCCAAGTTTGTGAATGACAAAATGAAGGGGGAAAGCCAGTGGTGGGTGTGACAGAATCTGCTGAAGTGTTTTTTTTTAATTAGTTCGTGGGATGTGGGCATCGCTGGCCAGGCAGCATTTATTGCCCATCTCTAATTGCCCAGAGGGCGGTTCAGAGCAGAGAGATCTCGGTGTCCATGTGCATAGATCACTAAAAGTTGCCCCCCAGGTTGATAGCGTTGTTAAGAAGGCGTACAGTATGTTAGGTTTTATTGGTAGAGGGATTGAGTTTCGGAGCCATGAGGTCATGTTGCAGCTGTACAAAACTCTGGTGCAGCCGCACTTGGAGTATTGCGTACAGTTCTGGTCGCCGCATTATAGGAAGGATTTGGAAGCATTGGAAAGGATGCAGAGGAGATTTACCAGGATGTTGCCTGGTATGGAGGGAAGGTCTTGTGAGGAAAGGCTGAGGGTCTTGAGGCTGTTTTTGTTAGAGAGAAGAAGGTTAAGAGGTGACTTGATAGAGACTTACAAGATGATCAGAGGATTAGATAGGGTGGACAGTGGGAGCCTTTTTCCTCGGATGGTGATGGCTAGCACGAGGGGACATGGCTTTAAATTGAGGGGTGATAGATATAGGACAGATGTTAGAGGTAGGTTCTTTACTCAGAGAGTAGTAAGGGCGTGGAATGCCCTGCCTGCAAAAGTAGTAGACTCGCCCACTTTAAGGGCATTTAAATGGTCATTGGATAAACTTATGGATGATAATAGAATAGTTTAGGTTAGATGGGCTTCAGATTGGTTTCACAGGTCGGCGCAACATCGAGTGCCGAAGGGCCTGTACTGCGCTGTAATGTTCTATGTTCTATAACCATGTTGCTGCAGGTCTGGAGTCACATGTAGGCCAGACCAGGTAAGGATGGCACAAAAATAAAGTTGCTGGAAAGAAGAAAACAAAGTTAACATTTCGGGTCCGGTGATCCTTCCTCAGTTCTGAGGAATGTTAATTCCAAAATGTTAACTTTGTTTTCACCTTCACAGATGCTGCCAGACCTGCTGCGCTTGAAAAGTTGGTGTTAAGCTACCTTCTTGAGCTCCTGAAGTTCGTTTGGAGTGGTATACACATAGCTCCACGTAGCAATTCCTATTTGTTGCCCCTTTATTATTCATACATACTGATACTGTGCATTCAAATTATTTGTCTTAGAAGTTATTTGGTTCATCAGAACTACTATTATTAGTTTAACATCTAAAAATTTGTATCTTAATGATCTCAACTCCCTACCTGACAACTGACTTCACTGAATCCTGGAGTCCATTATTATGTGAGCTTCAAATCTCACAAATGTTCCATCAGTAAAATCACATTTTCATTGCTTACTATGGTTCTGTATCTCTCCAATTGCTGAAGGAGCCTGTTGGTACCTGTGCTCGTTTTTTAGTAGATCTAATTAATATCACTTCACTGTTCTCTTTGCATACTCCTGTTATTTGTTAGATGGTGGTGTAGTGCTAATGCCACTGGATTAGTAACAGTGAGACCCATGCTATTACACTTAAGGTACTTGGGTTCAAATCCTATCATGGAACTCAAAATTAAGAATAAATCAGGAACTCAAAGTTACCAGTAGTAATAGCGGCCACAACAATGATCAATTTTTATTTAGGATCAATTTAGGATTCTGAGAGATAGTATTTATGGTTATTTGGAAGAGCACAATTTGATTAGAAATAGTCAGCATGGCTTTGTGAGGGGCAGGTCATGCCTCACAAGCCTTATAAAATTCTTTGAGGATGTGACAAAACACATTGAAGGTAGAGCAGTGGATGTGGTGTATATGGATTTTAGCAAGGCATTCGATGAGGTTCCACATGGTAGGCTCATTCAGAAAGTTAGGAGGCATGGGATTCAGGGAAATTTGGCTGTCTGGATACTAAACTGGCTGTCCAATAGAAGATAGAGGGTGGTAGTAGATGGAAAGTATTCAGCCTGGAGCCCGGTGACCATTGGTGTTCCGCAGGGATTGGTTCTGGGACCTCTGCTGTTTGTGATCTTTAGAAATGACTTGGATGAGGAAGTGGAAGGATGGGTTAGTAAGTTTGCCGATGACACGAAGGTTGGTGGAGTTGTGGACAGCTTGGAGGGCTGTTGTAGATTGCAACGGGACATTTTGCCCAGCTCTGCATCCTGTAAGAAATGGCAGATGGAATTCAACCCAGAAAAGTGTGAAGTGATTCATTTTTTTAAGGTTGAATTTGAATGCAGAATACAGGGTTAATGGCTGGATTTTCGGTAGTGTGGAGGAACAGAGGGATCTTGGCGTCAAAGTTGTGACCCAAACTTGATAGGGTTGTAAAGAAGGCGTATGGTGCGTTGGCTTTCATTGGAAGGGGAATGGAGTTTAAGAGCCGTGTGGTTATGCTGCAGCTCTATTAAACTCTGGTTAGACCACACTTGGAATATTGTGTTCAGTTCTGGTCACCTCATTATAAGAAGGATGTGGAAGCTTTAGAGAGGGTGCAGAGGAGATTTACCAGGATGCTGCCTGGACTGGAGGCCAGATCTTATGAGGAAAGGCTGAGGGAGCTAGGGCTTTTTTCATCAGAGCGAAGAAGGATGAGAGGTGCACAAGATGATGAGACGCACAGAGAGTGGATAGTCAGAGACTTTTTCCCAGGGCAGATATGATGATCACAAGGGGGCATAATTTTAAGGTGATTGGAGGAAGGTTTAGGGGAGATGTCAGAGGTAGGTTCTTCACAGAGTGGTGGGCGCTGCTGGCAGTGGTAGTGGAGTCAGATACTTTAGAGACTTTTAAGCGACACTTGGACAGGCACATGGAGGATAGTAAAATGCAGTGTATGCAGTGTAGATTGATCTTAGTCGGGTAACAGTTCGGCACAACGTTGTGGGCCGTAGGGCCTGTACTGTGCTGTACTGTTCTATGTTTTATGTTATTAAAAACCTGGCCGACCTCTGTTCCAAATGCATCGCGATGTTGTTGATTCTCAATTACCTCTGAAATGACCTTGCAAGCAGCTCTATTCGAGGCTGATTAGAGATGGGGAACAAATGCTCATCTTGTCAGAAATGCCCACATTGCAGGAAAGAATAAAATAGTTAGCAGTTCTCTTTTGAATGTTAGTATTGAATCTGCCTTAATAAGATAATCTAACTTAATAAGATAATACCTTAATCAAATCAGTTGAGTGAACCTTCTCTGAACTCATTCTAATTCAGTCATAGCCTTTCTTGACTGTGGAGATCTCCACACAGTATACCAGATATGGTCTCGCCGATGTCTTGTACTGCTATAACAAAACTGTCACT